TTTTAAAGGCCAAAAATAGAAATAAAAAAATAGGGTTGTAGATCTTTTCGAGATCTACAACCCTATATATATATATATATTTTTAATATTTTTTTGTCCCTAAATCACCATCATCACCATCGTACGGCCGTTGTCCGTACGCCCGTACGGACGGTCCGTACGTGGATCCCCTGTAGGAAGTACGGGGGACGACACTGGCTATGAGAGAGATGCAGACCATGATGAATGAGCGGAGGCGGATATGGGTGTTGGAGGGCAGCGGGGGGGGTTGGGATGACCTGAAGCTGGTAGGCATGCATCACGACAAGGTGTTCGTAAGGTTTTGCAGACTTCCACGTCCTCTCTTCCACGATGTCCTTCAACCTATCTGACCTCATATCTAGCATGCGACAACCAATCGGGGAAAACCTTTGCCGACCAAAGAGAAAGTTGCGCATGCCTTCATGAGATGGGCGACCGGTGGTTACCACCAGCAGTTTGGGCACGGGTTGGGAAATGGTATCATGAGCATGCTACGCAGCAACAACTTCCAACAAGGACTTGGCCAAGGTCATTGACTCATTGTGAACAAGTTTGATCGTGTCATAGTCTTCCCAGAGGGTAACACACCATGCATGCATTCGAGCGGAGAGGATTTCCCGGGTGTGCGACAACACCCATTTGTACATCGAGAAGCCAAAAAATGAGTGTCTGGAATGCTACCACGACCCTAAAAGACAAGACAATTCTATATTGTCGCCCAAGTAGTGTGTGAACATGAGAGTAGGACTACGTGACACCCGTGGCCTACGTGGTGGGCAATTCGGCTGCCATGGCCGAAAAAGTCGGCGGCCAAGAGGCCTAGTTTGAGGCCTGATTTTTTGGATATTTTTTTGGGGGTAAAAAAATACATGAAAAAAAGGATTGTAGCGTTTGTAAAACCCTACAACACCATAATTTTTGTTTTTGAATTTGACTTAAAAAATAAATAAATAAATAAATAAAAGAAAAAAGGGAAAAGTCGGCGGCCAAGAGGCCTAGTTTGAGGCCTGATTTTTTGGATATTTTTTGCCAAAATTTTTGGGGGGTAAAAAAATACTTGAAAAAAAAGATTGTAGTGTTTACAAAACCCTACAACCCCATAATTTTTGTTTTTGAATTTGACTTGATTTACTGTGTTAGCACTTACTTGTACGCACCCTCGTACGAGTACGGATTCGTACTATTGTACTCGTACGCTAGGGCCCCGTACAGGGTTTTTTTTTTTTTTTTTTTTGCTAATCCTGTAGGGTTTTTATTTGTTTTCTTAAATTATAAAAAGAATTTGACGATGATGCTCGGCCAAATGTTGCTTGTTTTGTGTTGTTGCATCACATATGTTTTTTACGGACTATTTATGACTTTTTTTTTTTTTTTTTTTTTTTTTTCTTTTTCGTACGGGGGCGTACAAGACGAACAGGTTT